ACTAAAGCACAAAAATTAAATTAAAAATTACTAATTAAAAACATGAAAATTACTAGTTAAACACTAAAGCATAAAAAAATAAAAAGATCGAAAGCTGCAAAACCACCAAATCAAAACAAGTTTACCAAATCAAAAGATTGCAAGCACTCACCCACGTTGGTGTCAAGACAGGTTTACAAGCTGGGAGCTGTTGCTGCTTGAAAAGATCGAATGCTGCAAAACCACCAAATGAAAAATTTTAATATCAGATGCACATATAGGCATATAGTACCCATCTGTGCAATGTAATGGGACATATGTGATAGCTAACTGATGCATGCTGATGCTCAAACTGAAGTACAGAAATTAAAGAAAAAAAAGAGAAGCGAAAATGAAAGATAAAAGATGACATACAGACAAATAAACAAACAAAAGCTGGAGCTGGAGGTGAGCGGTGTGAGCAGTGGTGAGCAGTGGTGAGCAGCGCGGCAGAGGAGAAGAGACTGACTGGAGTAGGGTGGGATAGCAATTTGCAAGAAGCGGCAATTGGATTTCCTTCTGCATCTAGGGTTAGCCAGTTATGTATATTGGACTTCCTTCTGCTTGTAGGGTTCTGTAATTGGACTGTAAATTGGGCTATAAATTGGGTTGGGTAATTAGGTTTAAAAATATTAGATTAACAAACAAAAATTGGGTTGGGCCAACAATTGGGTTTGAAAAAATTGAAAAAAAAGTGGATTGTGAAATTTAAGTTATATTAGTATTGGGTTAACTAATTAAATTGAATAAATTTCAATAAAAAAATTAAATTGGGTAAATAAAAATTAATTGTTAACATATGTACAAAATATATATATATAAATAAATAATTTTTTATACGGATCCCCACGGGGTGGAGGAAATTCTCCACGAAATTTCACGGGTAAAAATTTGCCTCTATCCCCGCCCCACGGATAAGAATATTCTTGGAATCTCCATCCCCGTGGTGGGGATCTCCACGGAGCTCCGCGGGTCACAGAGAAAATTGCCATCCTTAAAGGGGAGGACATAGGGGATATGTTAGAGAGATGCTTAAGAGAGTAGGGCATTGATAGGGTTTATTGTATTACTATTGACAATGCTAGTGCAAATGATGTGTTGGTTAGGTCATTGAAAGAATGCCTTAACAAATGGGGGACTAGTGTGTTACGGGGGAAGGATTTGCATATGTGTTGTGTAGCACACATTGCAAACTTAGTTGTCCATGATTGTATGAAATTATACAACAATTCTGTGGAATCAGTGAGAGCTTGTTGCAAGTGGGTTAGGCAAAGCACTCTGAGGATCAAAACTTTTAAGGATGCAGTTGCATTTGAGGAGATTGATTTCAAAAATAATGTGTGCTTAGATGTTCCCCATAGGTGGAACTCATCTTATGATATGTTGCAAAGGGTTGAGAAGTATGAACAAGCATTTGCTAGGTAACATACAAATTATTAATTCTAGATAAATTTTTTATATTAAATTTTCACTGTTTTTTTTTTTTTAAATCTGATTTTTTTTTAATTTTTAAATGTGAAATAGGCTCGCAAGGCAAGAAAAAACATTCAGAGATGAATTGAATGCTCCAAGTGCCCTTGGGATTCCAGACTTTGAGGATTGGGAAAACATCAGAAGACTAACTAGATTCCTTGAGCATTTCTACTTGTTTACTTTGAAGGTAAAGTTTAATTTTAGTAAATGAGGTTTTAAATAAATTTAATTTCTTATTTTCTGAAATTTTTTTCCCTTCATTGTGATTTTAAGCTTCTTGACTTTTTCTTCATCTAGAGTTACAAAAGTCATTCTCTAATTTTGACATTTTAAGTTTATATTTAACTTCAATTGTTGAAGACTTGAAGTTGCTTTTAATTTTAACAATGTAAGATCTTTTTTCCCATGGGTGAGTGTGAGCTGGTAATGTACTAAAAATAGAGGATTATTGTTGCATGAATTGTGTGAGATTAATACTGTGATACCCCAAAAATTTCTAGAATAAATAAGTGAGTTAAGGACTAAATTGTGGAGAAATATTGTTTTGGGCTTAATAGCCAAAATTTCATAACTTGAGGGACTTAAAGAGGGAAAATTTGGATAAGGATCAGTTATTTCTTTTTCCTTCTTTCTTCCTTCTTCAGCCCGATTCTGCTCTTCTTCTTCTTGCTGCTGCAGCCCAAAAAAAAAGAACCAAGCAAGCCGACGCACCTCCCTTTGAGAAACCGGTGAGAAAGCTTGGTTTGGCCTTCTTTTCTTGTTCAAGAACAAGATTGGAGCCTTGAAACCTTCCCCCCCTGCAGAGAATTTCGGATCTGCTCTGTCCTTCCTCCCCTGTCCGCCGGCTGATAGTGGGTATGTAATACCCCAAAATTTTGTGATATTTAGCATTAAGTTAGGGACTTGTTTGAGAAAGAAATATTATGTTTGGGCTTAATAGCCAAAATTTCAGAAGTTGAGGGACTTAAAGAGGCAAAATTTGGATAAGAATGAGCTTCTTTTCTTTTTTTTCTTTTTCCTTCTTTCTTTCTTCTTCAGCCCGCGTGTTCTGCTCTTCTTTTCTTCCCCCTGCAACCGGCCGAAAGCCCCAGCTGCTGCCACCCATTTCCGGCTGAAAAACCGGTAAGAAGCTTGGGTTTTTCCTTCTTTTTGGTTCAAGGACAAGATTTAGGAGCTTAGAATTCTCTTCCCCCTGCAGGAGTTTCCGGATCTGCTCTGCTTGTCCGTCCGTTGCTGCTGCTAGGCCCGAAATTCTGGGCATTTTTAGGTAAAAATCAGCCATGAATTGTATCTTTTTAGCTTTAATTGCCTTGAGTTTACCTTAATTGCTCTTATTCCCTTCAATTTTTGGGTAGTTTCCGTGAGCTTCCCCCTGCACTGCCGCCGGCTTCTTCTCCCTGCAGCTCCGGTTCCTTGCTTGCTAAATTATGCTATGTGACAGCCCTTTTAAGGCTTAAATTATTCATTTAGTTTGCTGGCTGTGTTGTCCGAATTTGACAGAAAATTAGGGAGGAATTCCGGTAGCTTTAGGACAAATTTAAGCATTAATTCAAGTGGGATTTATATGATTGAGTGTTAATTGACTGTTGTGTGTTTTTTGGAGAGAAATCCCGTGAATTAGCCATGGTTTTGCCAATTTTTGGAAGTGCAGTTACTGTTCATGGGCACTGTTCACATATTACTGTTTACACACCGAGGGTCAACAATTAACGGGGATTAAATAATTAGTTTGTGATATAAGAACGAATTTGAAGATATTTGATAATGAGGAGACTGATAGAAATAGCATCGTGATTAGGGGTAATCCTAATGATGATTTCAGTGTGAATTTGTGATAGTACGGTATTAATTCTCGGATATTTGATTAGGTTCTTGATCCTTGGGGTACTTTAGTACGTGAATTGAGTGCTCGATTTTATGCAAGTGAGGTAAGTAAATTTATGGTAATGCTTGTACAGTTTTTAAAAGCATGTTTTGACTTGTTTTTGAAGTGGTGGCAGCACTAAACCCGTTTTATACAAAAATGAGCATGATTGATTTGAAATAAGATTATTATTCTTTTTATTGATTTGAGCATGCCTGCTTGGAGTTTATTTGACTGTCCTAATGATTTGAAAGTGATTGTGAATTGTGATTTTTTTGTTAACTTCAGCCTGTTTTGTCTCCGATGTTGTCATGCTATTAGTGACCCTGCTAGTGGGGGTTAAATGCTAGCACATGTCAACATGTTTATTGATATGACCGGTAAATTCTAACGCCTGCCAATGGGCGAACACATTGGTAAATTTCTGGCACCTACCAGTGGGTTGTTATAACACTGGCCATGACTTATAGAGGAGACGTCTATTTCGTTCCTGTACTGTATCCGTTTTTCTTGATTGCACATGTTGGCATGCTGTAAGTTTAATTATGGGCACTCCATATTTACTTACTAAGATATTTTATCTCACCTAGTTTTCCTTGTCCACCATTTCAGGAAGCGAAACCGAGGACGGGGAAACCATGGGAAGTGACGAGTTAGAAGGCTAGCCATTTCGAGATTGATATAGATTTTAGAAATAAATCGTGATCTTGTAAGCTAGAATTTATTCGGAGATTTATAATATTAGAGCAAATTATAAAATTTGATCTTCAGATTTTGATGGTATCAGATTGTGAATTGGATAAGTTCCGAGCCTTGTGCATTTGTGGGACCCTCTCATGAGTGCATGGCGTCTGGCACGTCCTCGGATTTGGGTTCTGAGGCGTGATAGGGTATGCAAATTTTTGGGCATTTTTTTTGGTAAGATTCAGCCGAGAAATCATCTCTTTAGCTTTGATTTGGGCTTGTGTTTACTTTAATTCCTCTTGGTTCTCCAATTTTTGGGTAGTTCCGTGAGCTTCCCCCTGCACTGCCGTCGGCTTCTCCCCCTGCCAAGTCCGGTTCTGTTGGCTGAAATTCTGGTATGTTGACAGCTCCTCCAAGCTTGAATTTCATCAATTAATTGCTAAAATTGTCCATTTATTTACTGCTCTGTGCTGTTCGAAATTCTTTTGTTGTATGGTGGGATTTTCGGCTAGAAGAGGGAAATATTTCAGCAGCCTTAAACCATTGTTTTTAAGCTTGATTAAGGTAGAATTAGCTTGATTAAGGTAGAATTAGCTTGATTAATTGCTGCCTTGTGGTGTCCAAAAATCTACAGAAACTGGGGATGAATTCTGGTAGCTTTAGGACAAATTTAAGCATTAATTCAAGTGGGATTTATATGATTGAGTGTTAATTGACTGCTGTGTGATTTTTGGAGAAAATCCCGTGAATTAGCTAGTGTTTTGGCCAATTTTTGGAAGTTGCAGTACTGTTCACGGCGTGAGCACTGTTCATGCACTGTTCATGCACTAATGGCTAACAATTAATGGGGATTTAATTTTTTGTTTTGTGATATAAGAACAAATTTGGAGATATCTGATCATGTGGAGATTGATAGGAATAGCATCGTGATTAAGGGGTAGTCATGATGATTTTAGTTTGAATTTGTGATAGTACGTTATTAATTCTAGGATATTTTGATTAGGTTCTTGATCGTTCTGTCAGTTTAGCAATGAGATTGAGTCCTCGGTTTATGGAGTGAATTTTCTATGTTATGTGATTTGAAGTAAATAAATTTATGGTAATGCCCATATAGTTTTTAAAGAGCATGTTTTGACTTGTTTTTGAAATGGTGGTGGGACTAAACCCTTTTTACACGAGCATGACTGATTTGAAGTGAAAGTTTTATGCTTTTTATTAAATTGAGCATGCCTATATGAAATTTAATTAATTGTCCTGATGATTTGAAAGTGATTGGTGAATTATGATTTTTCTGTTAACTTCAGCCTGTTTTGTCTCCGATGTGGTCATGTTATTAGTGACTCTGCTAGTGGGGGAGTTTATAAATGCTAGCACATGTCGGCATGTATTTCTGTAGAGCCGGTTCCTCCTGCCAGTGGGAGTTGTTAGACACTGGTATTTCAGTGACCCTGCTAGTGGGGGTTATACACCAGCAAATAGTGTGCCTGCTAGTGGGAGGTTTATAACACTGGCCATGACCTATAGAAGAGACGTCTATTTCGTTTTCGTACCCGTATCTGTTTTTCGTGATTGCACTTGTTGGCATGCTATAAGTTTAATAAAGGGCACTCCATATTTACTTATTGAGTTTATCTCATAGTTTTCCTTGTCCACCATTTCAGGAAGCGAAACTGAGGACGGGGAAACCACGGGAAGTGACGAGTTAAAAGACTAGCCATTTCGAGATTGATATAGATTTTAGAAATAATCATGATCTTGTAAACTAAATTTTATTTGGAGATTTTATGATATCAGAGCAAATTTTAAGATTTTTATTTTCAGATTTTGTGGTATCAAATTGTGGTATCAAATTGTGGTATGATAAGTTTCGAGCCTTGTGCATTTGTGGGACCCTCTCACGAGTGCACAACGTCTGCCCCGTCCCCGGATTTGGGTTCTGGGGCGTGACAAATACTCTTATAAACAAATGAGAAATCTCCAAAAAGAATGACTTAGCTGCTATGGGATGGAGTATGAATAATTGTAGTTCTTAATAATTAATAAGTGAAAGAATATTTGATAATTATTATTTCATCCTTTTACTTTTAATAAATTTAATTTTTTATTTATGATGTTTAAATTTAATCCTCTATTTTTTTTTACTTTTAAAATATTATTTAATATATTATTTTATTTTATCTTTATTTCAAAAAAAAAAAGAAAAAAACTACCAATTTCTAGTGACCCCTTGAAGTTCTAAGCTCTATAATTGAGGCCCAATAGTTCTTTTTGGCCAAATTATCTCTTCTTTTTTGTTTAACTTATTAAATTTATAAGTTGAGATTTGCCACCAAAAAATATATGGATTTAATTACTAATTGTAAAGAAGTTTAAGGGCTTATTTAAAATTCATTCTGTTTTTTCCTTTATTCTGTTCAATTTTTTTACCAAATGTGGCATTGCCACCCATCACTTTATTAATTCATTTAATTTAAATAGTTAGGTCATTAAAACTAATTAATTCAATTGTTGAAGACTTGAAGTTGCTTTTAATTTTAACATTGTAAGATTTTTTTTTTTTTATAGGTGAGTGGGAGCTGGTATTGTACTATTAATTTATTATTACATGAATTGTGTGAGATTAATACTCTTATAAACAAATGGGAAAGCTCCAAAGAGGATGACTTAGCTGCTGTGGCATGGAACATGAAGGAGAAGTTTGCAAAATATTGGGGGGATCCAACAAGAGTGAATAAGAACTTTTTTTTTTTTTGCGGTGGTGTTGGATCCTAGTCAAAAAGTGGGATATTTAAATTGCCTTCTTGGGGATTTGTATCCAGAGCCGGAAGGAAAAGCAAAAGAATGTGGATGCTGGATTGAAGCTGAATTGAAAAAGTTGTTTGATTTTTACAAGATTGAAATAGAAAATCAGAATGAGAATTGTGGTAGTAAAGCACAAATGCCACATCTGGTTCTAGTAGGGGGCAAGGGCCTGATCAAAATAACCTTAATCTCCTTGTTAGATCTAAACAAAGTGGTGGGAATGGTCTTGGTGGTGTTGCAAGCTTAAAGGCAAATCGGAATGGCAACATTTCTTCTTGCCAAAGTGAACCGGGAAATAAGAAATGGATGAAGGATACTGAGAGATTCAGAAGATATTTATCAGAGGCAGCTCAGGAAAAGAATGAGCAATCAGAGCTTGACATCTACCTCAAAGATAAATTAGAAATCATGGAAAATGATGCTCAATTTTATGATGTTCTTTCATTTTGGAGGCTCAAGAGTGGGAATTTTCCTGTTCTTGCAGCAATGACACGAGATATTTTAGCTATTCTAGTTCCAACAGTGGCATCTAAATCAACTTTCAACATAAGTGGTCGTGTGTTAGATGACTTTCGGAGTTCCTTAACTCCTAAGATGGCACAAGCTCTAGTATGCGCACAAGATTGGCTAAGGCAAAAAAGAAAACATGTCAATATTACTCTTGATTGTGAGGATTTAGATGAATTAAAGGAAGCGAAAGTAGGTAAGTTTAATATTTTTAAAAATAAATTGTCCACCATTTAAATTTTGATTTTAAAAATTATGTTATTTTGGCTAAATGTTATTATTGGATTTCATGGTTTGCAGAATATAAGAAGAAGTTACGTTCATCACTTCTAGATGGTTGACATTTGCTATTGTGCATGTGAAGTTTCGGATTTGTTTTTTATGTTGCTTGTTGCTGCAAATGCTATTGGCTATTACTATAAATACTGCTTTTGGATTTGGTTTTTGGGTAGCTTATTACTGCAAATGCTGCTAGCTGTTGCTATTTGGGTTGCTTGTTGTTGCAAGCTTGTAAATGCTACTAGCTGTTATTATAAATATTGCTTTTGGATTTGTTTTTTGGGTTACTTTTTGCTGCAAATGTTGTTGGTTGTTGCTATAAATACTACTACTACTGATTTTGTTTCCCACAATTGCAAAGTTGCATGAGGTGTTGAATTAATGACTTATTTCATGGACAATGGATGTTTATAGATTTTTGGCTATCATGTTTGTAGCAATGTTGATTAAAGTGTTGAGAATAATTTTTTTTATCTATGATACCAACTTTTTTACATATAAGAAGATTTATTAAAGCAATTTTAGTAATGTTATGTTGCTAGTTTTAACAATTTTAAAAAAGTAATTTAGTTAAATATAATCACAATAACACATGTCGATATTGTACCATTTAATAGGACTAATTGTAATTGGTACACATTGGGTCGGTACTTGGTTTCTGCTTTAAAAATACCGAGTATCGATTCCCAAATAATGTACCAATTAAACATATTCGGGTCGGTACTCAGTACAAGACTAAAGAACCGAATATAATCGGTACAATGTAAAATCGATATAGTACTGTACTGATGCCCACCCCTACTTTATAGTAATGCTCCATGAATTTGCACTATCTATAGAGTCATCTAACTAAAAAACATCATTCTTTACCTAAAAATATTTAAAAGATAAAATAAGGTAAGAAAGATAGAAGAATGTGAAGGAACACACTATTGTTGAGCAAAATGACATGTCCTATTTATAGGGTTAATGGTCTTCTAACCCCTATTTGTAAGTCAATAATAGGAATAAATTGAGCAATTATTATGAAATAATGTGCCCCTAAGTAACGTAATTAACCTATTACAGTTAGTTTCACCAAGTTCTTAATTGGACAATAAATTTAATTTATTAAATATATTATTTTATTTTTATTAAAATATTTAAGTTCCAACAATTCTCCCACTATTTTAATAAAAAATAAACATTTCTTTTGGGCAAAGATGGATTATTATGCATAATTAAGGTTGCTAAGCCTTGAACCTTTACTTAGTGAGTTAACAATTTTTAATTCAAAGTCAATAGTGAACTAAATCTTGAACTATGACCCTATTGGAAGATGCAAGAATCGTATCACACATATAAGATCCGAATGTTGACTTTTTCACATAGCTGGCGCACTATAGCCTTGCACATGATCCTAGTTTTCATGGTGATCTAGAAAATTGTCCATCCAATTTTTATAGAAGTGGCCTCACTTCGACACCCACATATGTGAAATTTGTCAAGGGTGCTCCCATAACTAAAACACCCCACTCATTGAGTTACAAATTTCATTAAGAGTATATAACTCAACCCTCAATTTCTTATGAGATAGATGCATCCTCACCTTAGAAATGGGACCAAAAATTTTTTCCATTAAATATTAATGCATCTTTTAATAACGACTTCTCTATGATTCAATTTTCTCATTCAAAATCCAATTCTCAGAATTTGGGCTGGGTATCCTCAAAGGAAGTTCTATATTATTGGGGTTGAATCCCATTCCCCTTGATGAACACTAGACCTTGGACTATGACCATAGATTTTCCTCTAACTTTTGTTTTTGCCAAAGGCCTAGTTGGTGGTATAGTGGGTAAAAAGAGATTTAACTCATTCTTTTTCTCACTTTTTCACGTCAACCCACATGTTTACTAGCTCATAAAATTCACATTCATATTTCACAAATTCTCAATTCATGGTAACACAATTTTGATATCAAATTGAGCTAGTGAACCACTCTTTTTTTTCCATACATGTAGAGACATGTATTTAAGACTTTTTTAACTCAAACACCATTGTACATTGTTGTACAATAGGAATGTCCATCACATACCCCTTTTCTCAAATGCCTTATTATTTTTTCATCATACACCATTATACTATAATTGTATAATAGGAGTGCGTATCACATTTACTTTATTAAGCACCATTATACCTTATTGTATAATAGGAATGCTATGCAAAATTTCAATTAGGCACCATTGGTCTTATCAACAATAACGTTACACAAGGATATCATAACCCCCCACATTGGGAGTATCTCAAATATGTGATTATCACATTTCTCAAATACTTGAGTTCATGAAGAAACTCATTTACTCACAAAATTTCATAAGAGCATATTAGCTCATTTCACATTTTATTGCCATACATGGCTTCTCGATCACGCAAGTTTAAAAAATTTAACTTACATTTTTGTAATATATCAACCCACATTTCATGTCCATTTTTTCAAAATGATTGCATGGACCAAATTGGCTAGCTCTTTCCTCTAGCCTTTTCCAATTTTCAATTTGGTTCTCAAAGTTTTCACTTGTTTGGCACATATATATATTCAAGAAAATCAAAGTTTCTATTATGCTTACACAAGGCTACATATGTTTCAATTTTACTTTGCAAATGAATTACCTTAAAATTTTTGCTCCTCGAACACTCTCCTTCATCTCCTCATCATGTCATTATTGTGCTTCAATCACAAAATCAAATAAAATAATAATTAGTGAACTTATCAAGAAATATCGATAAGAAAATATCATCAAAATATGTGTGAAAAGTTTACTTACTTTAAGGCAATTCACGTCTCTATGAAGAGTTGATTAATTGGTGCAGCAGAGATATATATAGCATGTCGTCCCCATGATGCTATAGCTTTATAATAACGCTCTATGAATCTGTATTATCCATAAAGTCACCTAACTCAAAAACATCTTTCTTTACTCAAGAATATTTAGAAAATAAAATAAGGTAAGAAAGAAGAATGAGGAGGAACACATCATTGTTGAGCAAAATGACATGTCCTATTTATAAGGCTAAAAGTCTTGTAACTCTCATTTGTAAGTTAATGACAAGAATAAATTGAGCAATTATTATGAAATAATGTGCCCTTAAATAGGATAATTAACTTATAACGGTTAGTTTGACAAAGTTTTTAATGAGATAATAAATTTAATTTATAAAATATTTTTTTATAAAATATTTAAGTTCCAACATATATTTTAACACTTTTTTCATCTAATAATGTGCGCTTTTTATTACAATAATTATATATCAACAACGTATTTGATATTTAATAACAATTATTTTTTAAAAATAAAATTGAAATCAAGTTGTATGACATACCTGCAGTGAGCAAATGGATGAATGGCAAAAAAACAAGTGAATATAAATGAACGGAAATTCAATAAAAAGGGGGGGGGGGGTGCCGTTATGCATTATTATTTTATTTTTTTTGGGGTATGGAATAAAAGCCAATTTGGTTTTGTCAAAGCCCATTGACCATTCAAATTCTCAGTTGCAACTTTCAATGGCCTTTTCAATATTTTTTCTCAAATTGTGGCTCCGTAGGCCTCATTCAATTAGATTCTTTTCGTAGCTGTTAGGGAAGCTTTATGAACTCCTACCGTAAAGATCATGAATTGCTCTTATACCTGAAAATTTTGAGAATATTTTATTGAAGCAAACATTTTGATGTTTAAGTTAATAATGCTCTATAATTTAGAAAAAAAAACTATATGGAAGAGTGAGATAAAAGAGAGAGCATAATAGAGTTATTATTTTGTATGAAAGTAGTTGAAATTATTTATAGATCCCATTCACAACAAAGGTACCACGTGTCTTTGCTCTATTGGTACATTTGCTCTGGGTCACATGAATATATCATGATTATTGTGCCTACACTTGGGTTTTATTTGGCCTTTTGGGCCTAATTGCTGATGTTGGACCAGTTCCCCAACAATAGTCCCTTTTGGTTATATTGGGCATGCTGGAGATTCAATCATAGATACAAGATGGATTCAGCATAAGGCAATGGTAGCCCCTACTGGCTACTGTTATAGTGATAGTGGATCTTTAGAATTAATTATTTAGCATTATAAAAGTTTCTGTATAGAGAAAGATTTTAAATATTTTATTTTAGTTTAAAATTAAAATTTTGAAATTAATGTTTATTGATTTAATTAAACTTTTATAGAAAAATTAAGATTTATTATACAAAAACATTTTTTATCCCATCAAAGACCCAAATCGTATGGAAAATGGACATTTTCACTTTAAAATCCTTTTTGTTCTTCTTTTAGTACTGTTGCTTTCGTGTAGTCAAATATTTTAAGTGAATTTACTACTAAGGTTTTGTTTCGTAATACTATTTTACACTATAATCATAAGGGATTTTTTGTCTTTTATTATTTTAAAAATATATAGTATTGATTAAAATTAAATTATATACAAAAATTATTTAAAAATAATAAATTTATTTATTTTTATTAATTCTTTAATATTCAAAAATCACATTAAGCTCCAACTAAATTAAATACCAATTAATTTAAAATCGAGTTGAATCTGACCTTCTAAGGAAGGAAGCTCACCTAAAACTTATTTCTCTATTTACAATACTTAAATTCAAAATTTTATTTGAGAGGAATCGAGTCTCTTCCATTCGGACCTATAAGTAATTGGTAATAATTTTATATTTTTAATTAGTTAAGGTGCTATGTGCAAATTAAAAGAAGTAAAAAAAGGAGCCTGAAATTTTACATATGGTATGGGGACTAATTTGCCGGTTTTCCTTATCATGGTCACCTACTGCTGCACTTTTGTTGTGCTCATAGACACAGAGTATAGCAATACTGTTTTCTTATCATAAATGCTTAGTGTAGGAAAAAGAGACCTACCACAAGGCATGTAAAATAAAAACGCCAAAAAAATGCAGTACAGCAAAAATTATCTCTCCCCAATCAACATGACCCTTCTCACAAATGGAGGGATAGATCAACCTTTTGGTCTTTATCACCATCCATATGATCTGTAATTCCGTTGTATACTTCGCTACTATCCTTCACCGTTTGATGTCGAGAGGCACCTTCTATTCTTTTACTTCTTTCCCAATTCAAAAGACTTTGCTCTTTGCAGGGTCGACAATCATTAGCCACACTGAATGTATGATTGTGATCAAAGTGAGGCAAACTTGATCCAAACTTGCCATGAGTATGTGAGAAATATGCAAAATTGTTACCATGTGGGGCAATGAACATTGGAGGGTGGTGAAAAATACCTACTCCTGGATAGTTTGAGGCATTTTCATGAGATGCCGCTCTTTTAGCCTTTCTAGCAAGGCTCCGTTCTTTCTTGTGAGCATTCTGGTGACCCCCCAAGGCTTGAGAACTTCTAAACTTTCTTGGACAGAATAAGCAAGGAAAAACTCTTCCATCCCTTGTGTCATTATCTCCATCTCCATTGTTGGGTTGGGAAGCTTTTTCTTGATCATCACCTTCCATATAGATCTGCAAAAGGTTAACATTCAAAAGAGAAAATGGGGAATAAAAAATATATTAAAAAAATCATAGAAAAGGAAATACCGGGAGCGAATGGCAGAGAAAGCTAAGCACCAAAATTCTACGGGTAATTTAGGTGTGTTGGTTGATCTGATAAAAATCGTAGCTAAAGAGAGTACTTCAGACTTTTCAGAAGCTTTAAGTTCTGATCTGAATGGTTTGGAAAATGTGACAATGGTTTTTTGTGATTACCAATATGTACAATAGAGTGCAATGGCTGCTATCGGTACACATAAGTGACTGTATGGGCTTGGGATGGGAACAGAAAAAGATAAAGAGATAAAACTGGGGAAGAAGTATTGTTCATGACGCTTCTGCCTAAAGAGATAAAGGTCTGGGAAGAAGTGGTGTTTTGGTTGGAAAATGGAATCTCCTTCTCTTCTCTCTGTTCTTCTGACAATTACTGCCCTCATTTGAGTAACAAGTTTTTTTACCATCGCATCACAATGAAAACTGGGTTTGTTTAATTTGTATTTTAATAGTATAGGTTAAAATTTATTAATAGAGGTATTTTTAATTAATTTTATATAAATTTTTATATTAAATTTATAATTTTTTATAAATTTTAAGTATAAATAATATACTATATTATATTTTTATATTATATATTATGCTTTGTTCAAATTTTGTATAAAAATTTATACAAATTAATTATAAATATTGTAATTGATGAGGTTTATTATGTGTTATAAGAACATAAGTTAAAAACTTTTATGAAAATTATTCAACCCATTCTAGAGTCTAATATCATAATTAAGTGCCAGACTGCCAGTAATTATTTCAATTGAAGGACGCATGAATTAATATGCATCACTATTTTCTTGGAAAAACCCACAATTTTCCCTAGGAAAAGGTGGAAGATTTGCGTTGATTAATGGGATTTGCTACAACTAGAAAGATGGTGTAACTTAGGTGATCAGACTGTGATCTTGAATGGCCAATGTGGAAGGAAGGTTTGGGTGATTTAAAAGCAGAAGTAAGTCTGAGTCCCCACATGAGTGGTGGAGGGCTTGATTTTCAGCTCAGCTCTCCATGCAAGCACGTTGGTTCTTCTTCTGCACCCTGCGGCTGTTTTCAAAGTTGGGGTTATGGGGATAACATGGCTACAAAGGTCTCCTTCTTTTCCCACCGCCAATCCACTGCAACTTGTAATTTTCCATCCAATCTGTGCCGTGAATCTTCTGAACACTGACCTAGTGCTCAGTCAAACAACCCATGCCGTTAGCAAAACATAAGAAATTCAGAAAGAACTAAAAATGGTACAACTGGAAACACATGAAATACAATCCACCGATTAATTACTGCTCCCTTATCTCAAATTATTTGTTAGTGTAAGTAACTTGCACATAAATTTAAATAATGTTTTTATATGAATATGACCTATAATTGACAATTAAATTTTTTTTTTTTTTAATTTGTAGTCTTATTTTTTTAGTAGTTTTGTTTGATAAATTTTTTTTTTTCATTACAAGTCTACTAATCAACAAAACAACAGAAAAACCTAGGCTTCCCTCTCCTTTTCTCCCTAGTTGCAACCCTTCCTTCTTTTTCTTTTTGTTTTCTCATTAACTATCACCTCTTTCCCCTGCGGTAGATAGAGAGGATGAATAAAGTAGGAGTTCCTCTCACTTTGAGAGTTTCTCTCTCAATTTTTGAGATTTTTGCTTAAGCTCTTTCAATGGTTTTCATTGGGTTTTACATAGTGACAGAGCGGCGGCAAATTTGTCGATATTGAAATCAAATTTGTGTTTAAAGTATTATTTTCACTAGTCTTATTTTAGTTAGGTTAATTTGATTTTTGTATAAAGTTTGATTTGCTGATTTTACTTAATAAATATATTACAATTGAAAACTTTTTTCTTCCCAAATATAGTGCCTATTGAATATTTTCACTTAAATCTCATAAAAAAAAAAGGTTGTCATTAATTTGCTTATATAAAATCATTAAGTTAATGAAATTGGGTAACTAAGAAGGACTAAAAGGAGTAATGCATAATTGTAAAGCAATAAACTTTTGTCTAAAATCAAACTTGGTAATATTCAACATGAAATATACTATCCTTAATAATTTTTTATGAATAGTAACTAATTATCTAGTTGTATTTGTGGATCCTGAAAACTTCATTGAAGAACCATTCTCTACACAAAGAATCAATGAGATTGGCAAAGGCCGTAGTGTTCAAATTGGGATCATTTTTGTCCCTCATTCTTTCCCAAAGCTTGTGCCTCAACTCCCTCCTATATTCAACATCTCGCCTTCTAAACACCCAGCGAATCAACACGCTATAAGTGAGCAAATTGGGCACCACACCACACACGCATTTCGTCGAGCAGCTTGTGGGCAGTGCCCAAGTCACCAATTTTTCCTCATAATAATGCATTCCTTTTCACCTTGAGAAACTGTCACTTCCTCTGTTTCTCAATTGCAATAACATCCTGCGATATACAATGGAGCTTTTTAAATTGTTTCTTCGCAAAAAGTCTCCATGGAAACCAGTCCCAAGAGGAAGGTCAAGTGCTCTATTCTTCAACGTGACTGCAACGGCGAGGAGAATCAAGAAATGGGTTTTGATTCTGGTGTCAGTGTTGGTGCTGTTGCTGTGGGGAATCTAGAAATGGTTGATTCTTTGTGTGAAAAGAGTTCTGTTCTTGGTTTGATTTTTGGGTCTTTTGCGGGGAAGGTGTTGTTGCTGAAAACCTTCAAGATCTTCCTTAAGTGTGACTCCTCTCCAAGTGGTCTTGCAAAATCCTAAGGTTGGCCCTCAAGGAGAAACTCCGATGCTTAAATCAGTATTTTTCTAGTGTATGTTCTTTTTGTTCCGTCTATTTATCGTACCTTTCCTTGTGGGCTTTGTTCATCTTGGCAAGGTACCCACGTGGCTTGCCCGCACGCACTTGACTTACTTAACTCAATAATGATGACATGGTATGCTTGACGGAGCAAACGTTTTAGGTGCCTGTAACATGCCTTAATGGAGCAACTGCATTAAATGCTCGTGGTGCGTTTTGATGGAGCAGGTCTCTTGAGAAGGGAGACTTAGGTAAGGACAAATGATCGGCTAAGGGTGTTTTTATTGTGACTGCCATGTACTTGCGACAGAGAGCCGAGGTGTGGCAAGCTTTGGGTTCTGTTCAGTATATGGCTTCAGTGTCTGGTAGAGAGTCGAGGTGTGGTAGACCTTGAGCTCTGCCCTGTGTCTCGCGTATGACTGCCCTTACACTATTCCCCCCCCTCCCAAAGTCATTCACTTGTGAATGATGAAAGGAAGATGGGAAGTGTATGAATAGTAAGAATGTATGGCAATAAGTCGAGTTGTGGTCGTAACCAAGTAAGGTGACGTATTCATTGTGGCCGTAAGCGAGATAGCATTAGTGACACGAAGTCAATACGGCAGGGGCCGAAGTTAAATGTGATTCGGGTTGGAGCCGAAGTAAAATGGGTGACTTAGGGTCACTGTGGCAGGAGCTAAAGTAAAATTGGTGACTCGAGGTCACTATGGCCGGAGCCGAGATAATATTGGTGACACGGGGTCACTATGGTTGGAGCCGAGATAATATTGGTGACAAGAGGTCACTCTGGCCGCAGCCGAAGTAAAATTGGTGACATGGGGTCACTATGGCCAAAGCCAAGATAATATTGGTGACACGAGGTCACTCTGGCCAGAGCCGAAGTAAAATTAGTGACTTTGATAATTTTTGTGAGAACATAAATGAAGGGGTTCATAATGGGCTTAAAATGGGCCTATTTTTGAAGTCCCAAAGCCGGTTAATGCAACAGGCGACAGCTGTCATTGAAGGACGTACAGTAATAAATATCGTCTGCCAAAAGTAACCGTCACATTCGAAGGGACGTGACGGTAAATTTGAAAGGGCAAGGTTGCGACTGTTTAATGAGATTAATCGTGACCGTCAAGATATGTTATTTGCTGTGATATATCTATCCACAGTTAACGCAAAAATCCAACTCATTTTGCTGTTAGCTTTGCAAAAAGTCACTGATTTTTCTGCATTCTACGTTGTTTGTCCCTTGTCAGCCAAAATCAGGTAATTTGTGAGCGTCTTCTTTCTATCTCTCTTTGTTGTGAGAATGTCTTCTGAAGAGACGATTAGTGATGAAAGAGTGAAGGGGAGGTTTGAGGGGGTAGAGGGGAGGGATTTAGGGGTGCTGTTGAATATTTTGGAGAGAGAGGATGAAAGGGAGGAATGTTTCAACCCTGAGGAAGAGATTGTTTGCAAGGTGATGGGGTATGAAACGTCTTTGGAAAATAGGAGTGGTTTGGCCCACTTAGTTGAGAACTATGAGGTGCCTGGGCATGTGTTGGTGAGGCCGGCGGGGAAGAGAAAGAGAGCTTGTTCAGCTCCGAGGGACCATTGGATGCCCTTTTATTCCCATTACTTGGCGGCTGGGTTGCGGTTCCCCTTCCCAAACCTATTGGTGTGGTTGTTGATGGAGTACAGTTTAGGGTTAACGCAGCTCACCCCCAATGCCATGAGGCTAATAGTAGCCTTTGCAGTGTACGGTCGAAGTCGGGGGGTGGCATTTCCAACCGCTAGTGTATTTAAGTATTTTTATGTTTTGAATGCTGGGAGTGGTAAGGAGAAGGGGTGGTACTATTTTTCGGGTCGGGTAGTTAATAAGAAGAGAAGGGGTTTGTTCAGTGCTGGGCCATCTTCCATCCAAAGATGGAAAGACAAATTCTTTTTTGTGGATGACACGGAGTGGGATAAAACTGATGCTGAGGTGGAACACTTGAGCCGATGAAAGGCGAAATGGTTAAACCTCAATGAGTATAGCCTGACCCCGGGGGAGTTAGAAGATGTGAGGATGTTGGACAGAGGGGATGAAGGCCTACTGGATGCTATGGAGTACACGAGCCAGAAAATGTTAGACGCGGCTGAGATATATGGGTTGACCTCACAAAGTGGAGGTGTGTAATTTAATTGTTTGTTTAATTGGAAAATTCTAATAAGAGTTTTAACCTTGTTTTGTTTTACAGGAGAAATGAACAAGTTTTTGGAAGCAGCTGGTGGGGTGGGCATTCCTAAGAAGGGGAGAGGGAAGAGGGGTCGAGGTCAAAAGGCGGGTTGAGGAGGTCTCAGTCCTCAGGCTGAAGTCCAAACCATGGCCGTTTCTTAGCCCAGCAATGTTGGGGATGAAGTGACGGTTGCTAATGACGGTTGCTAAGGAGGGGCCTATTGTTGCAAAAAGAAGGAGAGTGGAGCAACAAGAGGCTATGAAGGAGGTGGCAGAACCTGTGACTTCACCCCTCCGTATAGAGGACCTCTTCAGCCACAACTGTTGACGTGGCAGTTGCACTCCGGGAACAAGGGTATATTCGCCTGCAAACAACGAGCTTCTATGATTCTGGGATGAGAAGCACAAGTGACTTCACTGGGGATCTTGAGGCTTCAAGCCATTTATACTTTAATTTTGAGGTTTTTCAATTACTAACTTTTGTTTTGTAGTTTGCATGGAGTACCTTGTAAGTTCTTTTATTTTATTTTGTTATTTTACTTAATATTTTTGTTATTTTCATTTGTTAATTTTATGTGTATACTCACTCACACACCTCACTTGCATATTATTTTGTCCTTGATGAGGTGAACTTGACCTCTAGATAGATGGATAACTCATGGAACAATGCAAAATTGCAATGCTTTCCTTGTGAAGTGGGATTTATCTATTTTAGATTCATTTTGTGAGTTAATATGGCCTGTCAGCCATAATGCTGCTGCTATATTAGATCATGAAATGTCTTTTATTAACTTATAGAAGTTGGCAATGGTTGACTTTATGGAAGTCAATAGTTGTTGACTTTATGGAAGTTAGCAATTGAAAAGCCTAATCGTATAGAATCCACTAGGAAACCGCATGTAATGGACTTAGATAAAACATAACCATAGGACGGCCAACCTAGTAAACCACCCTCAAGGTTTAAGAACCTTATACATAGGACACGTAAGGAGTATTTTATTTTTAAACAATGTTTTTGTGTGTTTCTTAGATGAGGAATTCAAAGAGTTATGACATTTATTAACTCTCCTTTCTACTTTAATAAATAAATAATTGATTATTTTACACATGGATTATTTGAGAAAAGGAACAATAAGGGAAAAAGGGTGAGTTCTGAGCTAGAATGTTAGCTGTTATCCAAGAAAAGCATGTCCCACAAGGTTTGATTCTTTGTATTGACCAAAAGATCTTGTGTAAAGGACTTGGATGCTACTTGGAACAGTCTAAACAATCTTGACAAAGTGAGGTTTGATAAGAAATTTGGAAGAATAGTTGATGTGTTGCAAGTAGAGTTTGAATGGGAAATCATTAAGGCAATCCTAGGATTTTATGTCCTGCATCTTCGTTGCTTTGTTTAAATTCATGCTCACCATTGAAGAACATTTGCAATTGTTATTTAGTCATCCAACAATGAATTCAAAAGTTGATAAATGGAATCTATTTTGGAATGGTTGAGGTTGAGCATGCTTTTCCACCAAATCAACATAATGCGGCCTCAAAATTTGTAGAAAGGCTTTCAAAGATGATAAAAGGATATTGTAAATGTGAGTTTTAAATAATAGAATATTGGAAAAATAAAGAGAAATGAAAGTTTATGATTGTTATTTATTGGTTGTTATATTCAAAATTTTAAATAAAGGAATAAAGTTTGAAGTCAAATTTCATATTTTCTTAATTTTTATTTGTTGAGAAAAAGCAAGTTCCTCAATATAAAAGAA